TTGTTGGGTTATTCGGTGAAGGCTTTAGAGCTGTGGGCTTTAAGCCTGGTCGGCTAAAGGGAAGAAACATGGGGGGCCGGTTTTAGTTATTAATTAAAGGGCCCATTAGTTGTTTCTTGTTTAGCAAGTTGTTAACCCTAGTTTATATCTTATAAATACCCAATCATGTAACTATAATCTGTGAGCACCTAATAAAAGATAAACCCTAGTTGCAACCCGTGGAGTAGTTTACTGACCGAACCACGTTAAATCTCGTGTTCTTATTTTCTGCTATTTGTGTGTGTGTGTGTTTGTTCTCTTCCGCTTGACCGCCTATGATCTCTGATTCCTAACATATCTCTCTGTATCAAATTCTCAACATGCTTGCTCGTGAGATTTTGTAGATCCAGCTTTACATAGTCAAGTACTGAGAGCACATAGAAAGTAAGTAGGTTTGTGGGTCACGTTTCAACTGTGACATGCTACCATGATGGCAATGAGAGCCTTATAGATGTCATTTAGGGTATGTGCCGGGACCATTTTGGATGCCATAATATCAATATTCTATTACCCGATGGTGAATTCGGAAATCGTAATGAGGTTACTTTTTTCTTTTTAATTTGTTATATCCCTAAAAGAAAATCAAATTTTTGTTGAGACATACTTAATCTTAAATTCTGTACTTAATCTTAAATTCTGTACAGGGACGGAACACTCATGGAGAGTGTAGGTATCGAAGTCTAGAACTTGCACAGGTGCTATTTCCGAAACTGACAATTGCCTACTCAATAATCTGGAACAAGATGGAGAACGAGTGGAGCTAGAATGGTAGCATTCTATCTTGCACTTTATATTAGGGTGTAGGTGGGTGTGTGTCTACATGAATATATGTGTTTAGATGATGTAACATTATTGATGCATTTTTATTTTTCTCTAGGTATGTGCCTATAATACCACTTATTCTTCTTAATGGTCGTTTGGGGCTCGAGACCGGGTTTCATTCGATCATTCCATGCTATAACCCCAGACATATCATTGACCGCCTTAGGAAACTTTTGAATGATAACATTGAGAAGAAGAAAGAAGCAGAAGTTAGAGGAGGAGTAGAAGAAATAGAGTTGAAAGACAAAGATATAGAATGCCTTACTCCTTGGTATAAAGGGTTTCAAGGAAGAATAGAGCCATCCGGAGTAGAAAATGATAAACATAGAATCTTTACTTTTTATGGGACATTGGTGGTTCCTTCTTCGACTAAGATATTGATCACCGAGCTTTCTATTGGAATGAAAACTGAGCAATACAAAAAACACTTAATCCTCTCTTGGATAAAGGCTTTATAAAGGTATGCTTATTCTCTTTGAGATAATAAATTGTACAAATGTTATTATTGTTATTTCTATAAAGATAAGAAGTGATATTTTTGCAGGAATATTTGGACCAGAGAGGGTACAATAACGTGAAACTCCGAATTTTATTAGCCAAGGAGAATGATAAGACAATCCCCCAACTCGAAAAGATGTTTAAGCTCACCTCGCTTATAAAAACAAATGAGATGTTTCTATTTGACGAGATGGGCTCGTTGAGGCAATACCAAACGCAAAAAGAGAGTATTATATGATATCGTGGCTTTTTCATTACTTTGTTACATACATATTTAACTCATAATTCACCTATTTTTTTCTTATTTTTTTGTTTCAATTCTAATTGCTCATTTTCGTGTTAGACTCGAATATTATCGAAGAAGACGTGATGAAAAGTTGCATAATCTTCAAAAGGAAGTGGCTTTGTTGAATGCAAAAAGTTGGATAATCTTCATACTCGAATCTTTTTTGGCTTATAAAAACAAATGAGATGTTTCTATTTGACGAGATGGGCTCGTTGAGGCAATACCAAACGCTAGGTGAGCTTAAGCATCTTTTCGAGTTGGGGGATTGTCTTATCATTCTCCTTGGCCAATAAAATTCGGAGTTTCACATTATTGTACCCACTCTGGTCCAAATATTCCTGTAAAAATTTCACTTCTTATCTCTGTGGAAATAACAATAATAACATTTGTACAAATATCAAGCTATTATCTCAAAGAGAATAAGCATACCTTTATAAAGCCTTTATCCAAGAGGGGATTAAGTGTTTTTTTGTATTGCTAAGTTTTCATTCTGATAGGCTTAGTGATCAATATCTTAGTCGAAGAAAGAACCACCAATGTCTCATAAGAAGTAAAGATTCTATGTTTGTCATTTTCTACTCCGAATGACTCTATTCTTCCTTGAAACCCTTTATACCAAGGAGTAACGTATTCTATATCTTTGTCTTTCAACTCTATTTCTTCTACTCATTCTCTAACTTTTGCTTCTTTCTTCTCAATGTTATCGTTGAAAAGTTTCCTAAGGCGGTCAATGATATGTCTGAGTTATAAAACGGAATGATCGAACGAAACCCGGTCTCGAGCCCCAAACGACTATTAACAAGAATAAGTTGTATTATAGGCACATACCTAGAGAAAAATAAAAATGCATCAATAATGTCACATTATCTAAACTTTTATATTCATGTAGACACACACACACAAACACACACCCACATTCAAATATAAAGCGCAAGATAGAATGCTACCATTCTAGCTCCACTCGTTCTTCATCTTGTTCCAAGTTATTGAGTAGGCAATTGTCAGTTTCGGGAAATAGCACCCGTGCAAGTTCTAGACTTCGATACCTACAGTCTCCATGAGTGTTTCGTCCCTGTACAGAATTTAAGATTAAATATGCCTTAACAAAAATTAGATTTTCTTTTAGGGATATAACAAATTAAAAAGAAAAAAGTAACCTCATGACGATTTCCGAATTCAACATCGGGTAATAGAATATTATGTCACATAATTTCGTCATGAATGTTGTGAATAGAACCTTCCTCGTCACTGTCCATCCATCCACAACACTAGGAATCGTTCTCCGAATATGAGCCCGGGAAAAATGAATAAACTCCTCAAAGAATTCAAAGTACTCCAATTCTGCCAGCTTTTCATCGTCAAAATCAATACAAGCTGCATCTATTGGGCTATACTCCACTCATTCTTTCCGTTCTTTACTCTTTTCATTACCAAAAGCAAGCTCAAAGAACATATTATTTTGGTCATTTGATTTCCAAACAAAATATTTCTGACACCTAGCAAGATTTTGAAAGTAGTCTTTACCATCGCTAGATGAACTATCAGCCAATCCCTAAAGTACAAAAACAACAAACAAACAAAAAAAGAATATATTAGGATATCAACAATAATAACATATTAAGGACTATTTATAAAAAATATTGTTAAGGAATGTTGTCAAAGATATTATACCTTGAAATAATTTGAAGGCTAATTACCTAGTTGGATTAGGAGTACCAACCCGAGATGTTCTAGTTCTAGTAAGAATAGAATTATGGATTGTAGGCTTAATTAGCTCTCTATATATGTTAGCCGGGTTATGATATGAGAAACATATGAGAGTTTATTGTAATTGGTTTTGAGTAATTTTCCAGTTATAATAAAGAGATTGTTATTGCTAGGTTGTGCGAGAGAGAAAAAGGGTGAATGAAAGCTAATTACCTAGTTGGATTAAGAGTACCAACCCGAGATGTTCTATTTCTAGTAAGAATAGAATTATGGGTTGTAGGCTTAATTAGCTCTGTATATATCTTAGCCAAGCTTGGGTTATGATATGAGAAACATATGAGAGTTTATTGTAATTGGTTTTGAACAATTTTCCAGTTATAATAAAGAGATTGTTTCCAACATACTTAACTTTCCATTCGCTATAGGATTACCCTTCATCCACTTTTCAAACTTGTGAATGGTGAAAAAGCTTTTGGGCAGATTTTTTTTGTTCTATCAGTAACCTGCAGTTGCAAAGATAAGTGATAAAATCAGATGAAGAAACATTTCATCTAATAAACAATAATGATGATTGAATCAAAGTAGTTACCTTGATAATAGGAGTGATGAGCTGGGACATAAAAGGAGGTTTAATCTCTAATAATTCTGGCCAAATCTGTGAAACACAATAACACATTTAGAATTAAACCCTTTATGTGTGATCCGTTATGGTCCTACACAGACCACACATCAAAAAGCATGCAAGTTACGGAGTAGTTGGGTAAAGCTTAGTTGACTAAAGAGGAGATTATTGGTGTGTCAATTTATTTAATTAGCTTAACAAGGTGTATGTAGTTGCAAATGGGAGAGATTATAGAAAGTTGGATATTACCACCTTAACCAAATGTGGCAAAAAACAAAATAAATAAATGTTATCACAGAATAAATACTACTGTAATTGGTATGATGTCAAGAGAGATTTTTACACATATATTGCAGAACAAACATTTCTTTCACATTGGATCGATATATCAAATATTTGCAATGGTGTTTCACTCCTCTCTCTTTGAAACTCAAAACATAGAGAACAAAATAAACACCGATTAATAAGAGAACCCAATGGTTGCACCAACTGTCCACAAAAACTGGCCCAAATTGTGTTAGAGTTGAGCATGGTCATCATAAGTGGGCAAAAAAGAATCACAACAGAAGTGTAAAAGATACATTGTTGTCTGAACTTTCATATTTCTTCCTTTTCACTTTCTTCTCATTTTGAAACATAAAACGTAACTAATAAAACTAAATTCCACATACAGAACTCCTTAAGATCAATGCTGTGACTAAGTGTAAAAGTTCAGTAATTGAGCCAAGGGTCTCTTTGAAAACTGCCTCTCTAGTTTAGAGTAGGGGTAAGGTGTCCGTACACACACCCTCCATAGACCCTACTTTTCTGTGATTCAACTAGGTTGTTGACTTGTAGTAATTAGAAAATAAACTGGAAAGGGGAAAGATACCATAGCTCGGCAATACTTTTGTATTGAGTCGGGTAATCCATGACATAGATGTTATTGGTGTGCCAACTTATTTGATGTTACGTGTTTTGGATATCCATGGTCAGTCTCTCTGGTTTGAAAATTCGAGTGTGGTATGGGTTTCAAGCGAATCAAAACTAGACGTTCACTAGGTCCTCTTAAGTTAATAAAATAAAAGAATAATCATTAATACCTGATCTGTCATAATTAAGATATGATCATATCGCAAATCTCTCTTCTAGGATTGAAGGTAGTTGACCCCTTGTTTAAGGCCCACTATTTTCTTAATTTCTTCAACTTCTTTGTTATTTATTATCTTGGTGTGTGTGGCCTGCTTCACATTGAGTAGTTTCCCCCTTAGTGGGTAGACGCCAAAGAGCTTTCTCTCCTCATATGAGAGACCAGCACGCAAGCCATCCATCTAAGTAAAAAAAAAATATTCACATAAGAGGCAAAGAAAGAGCTAGGGGGAGGGGGGAAACCGAGTCTAGATGCAAAATGTTGAAGACTTGTGTCCAAAACAAATTAAAAATTTATAAAATATCCTTAACTAACCCCCAATATATAATCAAATAAAAACTATAGCTAGGGCAAGTAAGGGTCGATTCCACGAAGAAAGTTTGTACTTTTAAAATCAAATTTAGCATGCAACCACATTGTCACTAAACAAAACAAACTAACTACTACACATAGGATAAGACGTATAAAACTTATAATAAAACTTATAACTACATAAATATAAAAACTTATAAATATAATTTATAAACGATGAACTATAATATAACTATAAACATAAAACACAAGGGGGGGGTTGAATTAAAAGTAATTATTTTTTTATTTTTATATTTTCTTGATTTTTTTGGTTTTTTTTTTGATAAAATGGGGGAAAACAAGATCTAAAGATAATCAACTTCTCCAACTAAGGTAACCCAAGAAACACCACCAAGAACCCGAAACAAAATAAAAAATGATCAGAAATCGAACATTACACGTATAATAGGCACGTAGACAATATATTACGTAACTTACGCACTTAAGAATAGGAAAAAGCAATCAAAGGCCGAGTCGATTCATTTCCTTAACCAGAGGATTGTCAACTCTCCACACAGCCCGGAGTCATGTAATTCAAAGGCCCATTTTGAAATATACCTTAGAACCCCAACTCACCAATCAAGCATGAAAACATACTTCCACTATAGAAAAAGTTAATAAAATAGCAAATTTTTTTCATTCTAACTCTCATGCATAATCTATTCACAAACCGCCAATACCTTATGCATTTTAATAAACTTTTTCTCCTAATGAAGAGCACATTTCATAGATTTCCATGAACTTCTCAAACCAATGACATTTTTTCTATTCACATAAATGAACACAACATATTGTTTTTGAGCTTAAACAACCTCAAATTAACGAAAATAACAAACAAACATACGAGAAAATACACAATCACTCAATAACGAATTTTAAGAATTATGAATCAACTTATGGGGCTAAGAAGTCCAAAATTCTTAAAATCAACGAACACAATGCACAAAAAAGATTCACGTATGAATTCGGAGTTCATTTAACTACCTTATGAAGCTAAAATAGCTTCAACAAAAACCAAATTCCACAAACCAACCTACTTATGAAATCAAATTATACAATTCAACCAATTCAACAATAACTTGCTCAATAATTGAAGAAAAACTAGTTTGAATCAATTCTCATTTATAAGGGATTTAATTTAAACATTAAAAAAAATACCCATAAAAGAACACCAACCATTTTTTTTCAAAATTAACACAACAAGCAAACAAAAAATGTAAAAACTAAATAAAAAACAAACTTTTACATAGAATTTTGGAGGAAAAAATAAAAATTGACAAATAAGGGTTACCCATTGTTGAAGAAGATGAACAAATTGAGGAATTGAAGCTTGAAGAAACAGCTAACCTCTGCCCGGAGCTACTGCCGACCTCTCGCCGGAACTGATGCCGCCGCCGGTTCGCGTCTGGCGGCCGTCCGCCACCGTGCGTAGATGGCAGCGGCCATAGCCGCTGCTCTTTTTTCGTTCGATTCCCCGTAATTCCCCCTTCTTCCGATCTTGTGAAGCTTCAATTTATAGGATGGAGGAGCCAAATTCTTCCGTTGGAGCATTGATTTTGGCGAACGTTGGAGAAGAGCCGTTGGAGATGGCGTTACTTCTATCGCCGAAGGAGTCTATGAACTCCCATTCTCCCATTTCTCCGTTTTTCCGTGCGTGAGATCCAATTGGGGAAGAGAAATGTGGCTTGGTCTTTTTCTTTATTTAATGTTGGGTTTAGGCTCCGGCCTAAATTCCATTTCTTCTTTCTAAACTTAACTTCAATTGAGTCTTTTGCTATATTTTTTCCTAAAAATAAGATATCTGATAACTTGGGTTAAAAAAATAAAAATAAAAATAATAGAATATAAAAAATGATTAAAAGATTAGTAATTAATGAGGAAAAAATTGTAAAAATAAGAATTAAAATAAAACGAAGCTAAACAACTAAAAATCAAACACTAAAAATATTAAAAATGCCTAAAATTGAACAAAAAGAATCAAACCAAACCCGACTTATCACAAAACTTACCACAAGTGCTTTGCCAGAATCCCCCTCTGGAATCAATGTGCAATCCTTCGACCTCTTAGTGCCACCCAACTCGGCATCAAAAAGTTTTTCAATATCAATAATGTTCCGGATGTTTTGAAGTTTTGATCCGTCACTGAATCTCATGTCTTCATTAAGCTTGAAAAGGAGGATGGCATCACGGATTGCAGAGAGAAACTGAGCAAGTGAAAATATAAGCACAAATATGAGGTTATTAATATTATCAGAAACAACAAACTTACCTCTTGCATATAACATGCAACAAATTAAACCTTGTCTCAAGAATTTGATTAGAAGCTTGTTGTATGTCGTGTAGAAATAGCTAGTATTCGGCCTCTCCTTTATCCATGTCCTTAGGAATGCGTAGATTAAGAAAAATCCAAAGGTGATTCTTCACATGTGCAGGATCGATGGCAAGAGAATACATACTCTACTTTGTTCTTATTGACAAAGGCGACTAGATGGTCCACAATATCTTAATTGGGTGATAATCTCCACTTGGTATCCGCCAACCCAATAGTGCCTTGTAATTAAGAAAGCAAACCTCTAGGAAATTTTAGGTCGGGTTGAAACTGACGCAGACTTCTCCCCACACTTCATTGGCAAATGTCAATCTATATAAGCATGCAATAGATGTAATTTATATTAATAATAATAAAACACTAGTTGGTATTGAGATCAACATACAGTTGAAATGGATAGCCGCCTTTTAAGTAGTCGAAAAGATTTTCCTTTGTGAAAATTCTTACAGTCAAGACAGAAATAAAACCAAAAATAATAACAATAATAATAAATGCAGTCCACACACAAAGGAACCATTGGAAGCTTAGGCCATTTCTTTATTGCAGCTGAATCTAAATAAAAATTAAAGTATTGTTCCAAGCTGTTGAGGTAAAAGTTCTTCCCATCCAATATCAACGGGGCTCTGTAAAAATATGACAGATCGAGAACGTGCTTGATACGTCCCACGTATCGGTTGGGGAGGATCTTCGAGCGTCCTCGGACTCCTAGAGAGAGAGATAATGTAAACTAGGGTTTTTACTTGTATTCCTTCAATGCCTCTTACGAAAGGGATACATCAAGTATATATAGGAAAACCCTAATTCAACCCTAAAGATTCTACGTTATCTATCCTGACGGTTCAATAAAAGCGACGAGGTAAAGAACCGTAAAGAAACCCTCGAAGGAGCTTATAAAACGCTCACCTAACAAAATCTACGATACAGTAATAATATAAAATAATGTCACTTATTAATAACATAATCCTTATGCCAAGCCGGACGTTTCTTGTGTCGATCACTTCTTCGCTCACGGGCCTCCTCCTGCTCTTCGGTACGACCGGCCCGAACCTCTGACGTTATGTCTGGGACTCTAGCCTC